GATTAAGAACTCTAATCTAGATTAATCCTCTCATGAAGGCATTAACCCCTACACTAATCCATTTTCAAACCAAATCATCATTTGTGAAATATGGTTCAGTGAGCATTAATAAACAGTTCTAGAAGATCATTCAAGCAAATAACAATACATCATCATGCAGCAAATGCTTAAACCTCTAATACAGCTCTTTCAGGAATTTCATCAAACACTTTTGGTGCATGAAATTCCCAGAATCTAGATCTCAAGTGATGTGCAAGGATCTAGCCTAGAGAACAGCTGTTTAGAGAGATAAATCAATGAATCTAGCCCTAAGCACTCCTAATCTAACACTTTAGCACCCTAACCTACACATCTAGAACCTCATTAAGGTGACTACTCACTAATCATACTAATCTCTCTTAAACCTTTGCAAGTTGAGAAGATTGGCATGATTAATGATGAGAAATGGAGATGGAGATGATAGATTAAGAAGAAAACAGCTTTAAACACAAAGATCTCTCAAACTCTCTTTATTAAACACTCAAAAATCGATATTTCTCTTCTTAAGTGGAGTTTTTTCACAAAAGAGGCAAGAGACAAAAGGGAATAAAGCTTAAGTTTTGGGAAAAGACCCTAAAAACTATTTATATATCTCTAAAAACGAACCGGGTCAGCCCAGAACAAACCGGGTCCTGACCCGGCTTTAGTGGATAAAGTGATAAATGTGCGAGTTGGTCAAGAGTGTCCTAGGTCGCATGCCCAAGTCGCACAGGTGAAGAAACTGTCTTGTGAGACTTAAATCCCTTAGTCTTAGCCGCACGCCCATCTAGATGTGTTTTGCGAGTCTTTGTGCGGCTCAATCCTCCTCTTCTTCAACTCGCATGACTAAGGCGAAATCTGGGGAAGGTGTGTGTGCGACTTGGTCATCCTTTAGTCTCCAGCCGCATGCCTAAGTCGCACAACCAGAGGAAGAAGCTTGGACGAGGTAAAACTTTTGTAAACTCAGCCGCATTACCTTCTCGGAGTGATTTGCGAATCCGTCTGCGGCTTAGTCTTCTCTGCTCCTTAACTCGCACAACCATGTAGCAGGGGCCTTCAGGGATGTGTGCGGCTTGGACTCCATTACTCCCAGGTGAGACAATGATGAGACATGATTCAAATGATTAAGAACTCTAATCTAGATTAACCCCTACACTAATCCATTTTCAAACCAAATCATCATTTGTGAAATATGATTCAGTGAGCATTAATAAACAGTTCTAGAAGATCATTCAAGCAAATAACAATACATCATCATGCAGCAAATGCTTAAACCTCTAATACAGCTCTTTCAGGAATTTCATCAAACACTTTTGGTGCATGAAATTCCCAGAATCTAGATCTCAAGTGATGTGTAAGGATCTAGCCTAGAGAACAGCTGTTTAGAGAGATGAATCAATGAATCTAGCCCTAAGCACTCATAATCTAACACTTTAGCACCCTAACCTACTCATCTAGAACCTTTAAGGTGACTACTCACTAATCATACTAATCTCTCTTAAACCTTTGCAAGTTGAGAAGATTGGCATAATTAATGATGAGAAATGGAGTTGGAGATTATAGATTAAGAATAAAACAGCTTTAAACACAAAGATCTCTCAAACTCTCTTGATTAAACACTCAAAAATCGATATTTTTCTTCTTAAGTGGAGTCTTTTCACAAAAGAGGCAAGAGACAAAAGGGAATAAAGCTTAAGTTTTGGGAAAAAACCCTAAAATCTATTTATATGTCTCTAAAAACGAACCGGGTCAGCCCGGAACCAACCGGGTCCTGACCCGGCTTTAGTGGATAAAGTGATGAATGTGGGAGTTGGTCAAGACTCTCCTAGGTCGCATGCCCAAGTCGCACAGGTGAAGAAACTGTCTTGTGAGACTTAAACCCCTTAGTCTTAGCCGTACGCCCATCTAGATGTCTTTTGCGAGTCTTTGTGCGGCTTAATCCTTCTCTTCTTCAACTCGCATGACTAAGGCGAAATCTGGGGAAGGTGTGTGTGCGACTTGGTCATCCCTTAGTCCCCATCCGCATGCCCAAGTCGCACAACCAGAGGAAGAAGCTTGGACGAGGTAAAAATTTTTGTAAACTCAGCCGCATTACCTTCTCTGCTCCTTAACTCGAACGACCATGTAGCAGGGGCCTTCAAGGATGTGTGCGGATTGGTCTCCATTACTCCCAGGTCGCAGGCTCAAGTGGGTGTAGATTGCGAGTCTTCGTGCGGTTTAGTTCCAAGCGCGGCCAACTCGCATGCCTAAGTTGCACGGTTGTGGACTTAGCATTTTATCTTGCTCGGAAGCCTCAGACCTTATCCAGTGATAGCTTACCCGCACTTCTCAACTCGCAGCTCAACCTCCAGGCATTTATCTTCATGCGTTGCGAGTTAACCAAGTCGCAAGATCATCTCGCAGCATTCAGGGCTCCTCGGACCTTTTCTCATTCATAGGAGAGTAACTTTCAGGATACTGGTCCGAATGGTGTGATTCCAGTTTCAGTGGATAGAAGACTTAGACATCTTCAACTTTGGTGAAGAAACCTTCGGTGCTTGGGAAGTGGAAGGTTTCCTGGAGGGTTCATCTTCGCAGTGCATTGACACGATCAGAAAGAGACTTCTAGACATGCGTCCATTCCGGAAACGTTATCTTCTTGCTCATAGCTCCGAATTGAATGATCTCAGACGTTCTGGAAAGAGGACTCAATATCTCGGATTCTGATGAAGGCACTGTAAACTGATTCGGTCTGGAAGTGCACCGTCCTTCGCATTCTTCGGAGCTCATCGGGTCGGTCCAAAACGGCAGCGAGACGGGAGTTCCTTCCGACGACCTTAAATCTCTGCTCACGCCTCCAAATCCTATGATTCCACCTGCTCTGGAACCATGATTCAATTTTCTCCAACTTTGATGAAGCACCCAACAGCTGAATCGGACCGGAAGGTTCCCCGGACAGGCGATTTCGGAAATGTGTCTGCACCCGGGAATTTTGGCCGAGAAACTTAACCAGCCGGTACGCGTTTTGGCCGAGGAATCCACCCGCGGTACATGCAAATTGCCGAGAAAAACCTTCCTGCGGTACGTGAGAATGGCCGAGAACCTCCAAAAACCCATTTTCTCCATCTTTCAAGCCCTGATCACCATTTCTCTTCCTGGATTCACCTTTTCAACTCCAAATAGCTCCAAATACACCTGATAAACACTCAAAACATGCAAAGACTCATTGGGACCTAATGCAACTCCTAAGTCCTAAAAAAAACCCTAAGGACCTAAAATGCATGAAACAAGATATGATTTGGTGCGTGCTCGTGTCAACTACGTGAGGGAACAAGTTTTACCCTTAACAAAACAAATGAAAGCCGCAAGTGCACAGCTAATCAGTTGTAGTATTTAGGGATCGAATCCACAGAGATTTGTGTGCCTGGTATTCGTCTACGGTTTTTAACTTTATGTCTAGACTAAATTGGTTTTAAAGGTTGGTTGTTTTTCTTGCGAATTAAACTAAAACAAAAGAAAGCAAATAAATCTATCCTAAAAAAAAAAGGTAAATAAAATCGAATGAAATGCAAATGGAATAAGTAAAATATCGAACTAAACAAAAATAAGGCAAGTAAAATATCGCATGAAAGGTAAATAAAGCAAGTAAATAACAAACAAAGGAAGTTGAAATGCAGGTCTAAGAAAGCAAGTAAAAATCGATGGAATTGTAAACTATGGCTAAAAACGCTGAGCTTTTTGGGAACTCTAAGGGATCATAATCGGTTTTAACACTAAGGTAGATAGATTGGGATTGACGGATAACAATATCTGGGTTCTAGAGCTAGAGTACGGCGGTATGACTACGTCACTTTCGTGATCATAACCAACTGTTTCTCGCAACCCTGACCAGTAGGTTTCCACTCTGGCCCTGGATGGGAGAGAACACAAGAGCTGCACAAGACTCGTCAATACTCATGATCTCGCCGCAGGTAGGTTTCCACTCCTACGGAAAAATCGCCTGTTTCCTTCTAGGGCTGATACTTAATGAAAACTTTCGCAACACTAACTATCTAGATCAGATACTAGGTGATCAATCAAGCATACATGCAATAAGAACAAGAATAAACAGAGAACAGGTCGAAATCCCAGATCTATAAACCTAGATGTCTTAATCGATTATGAGAGCCCCTTTTGGGAACCCTAAGCCCAACTCAGGATCTACTCAGACATGGCAGAGTTCGACATCATCATTGGTTTTAATAAAAGTAATGAAAAACAGTAAAGAAAAGAGATAAAGAAAGCTTCTCTATTGAAGAACTCGGACTTGAACAATCTTCTACAAAAATCTCATAAAAACGGCTAAAGGAAAAGGGTTTCTGTAAAGTATGAATGGCTCCCTCTAAAAACGACCTAAATGACATGTATTTATAGTGTCTAATACTCCATGATCTCTAGGGTTCCGGAATTGAGGCTGGGAATGACTTTGGGCTTCAGATAAGTGGGCTTTAAGTCGGAGCTTGAATGCCGCGGTCGGGAGTGTTGTGACCGCGGCAATTGGCTTGTTGGCCGCGGTCGGGAAGCTTCTGACCGCGGCAAATAGCTTATTGGCCGCGGTCGCGTGAGTTGCTGGCCGACTCCGCGTGGCTCCGGGGCTAATAGAATATCTTGAGATCCAACCGTTGGAATGTCTCCAAACCAAGTGCATTTGAAAGCTGGTTGATTCTTCTATAAGTTGTCCAATTTTGACGGTGAGAAGGTCTTCGTCTCTCCATGAGAGTTCTGACGGTCTGCATTTATCCAAAAGAGTCTTTTTGTTCCATTTTGTGCCTCTTTCTCCCAAATTACCTGAAAAGTCTTTTAAAATCCGGAAACATAGAAATCCTTTCAAAACCTTTGAAAATGGAGTAAAAACACCTGTAAAAGATATTAAAATGATCCATAAAAATGGTCAAAATCCGGTGTTATCATGACTTGGAATGAAATATACAACCTAAATGATGCAAATTATGAACATATCACAGGCTCTCCTCCCCCAACTCACTCGAGGCTTTGAGATGTCGTTTCGGGATATCCGAGGCGGTGGAATTCGTCCTTCCAGAAAAGAATGACCGAGCTGACAAACCTCCTGAGAATCACTTTACTCTGTACGAGGCGTTCTTCGAGCTTTGTTTTCTCTGGTTTCCGATCCCCGGAGTTATCTTCGAGTACCTCTGGAAACATGGAATCTCGATCGGGCAGATTATGCCGAGGGGTTTGCGACACATGATCGGCATTCTGATTCGAAGTTTTGAATGTGGGCTCAACATTGAGCTGGATCATCTGCTAAACTTGTTTGAGATCAGAAAAGCTCCGAAGGGAGATAGATTTTATATCTCCAACAAGTCCAATCGCCAGATCATAGGTGGTTTTCCAAGCAAAGATCAATTTTGGACCGAGCGTTTTTTCTATGTCTTGGTGAACGAGGTGTCAGTTGGCGAGGATTTCGTTCCAAAAACCATGACCGCTTGGGGACCACTTGATAGCCGATCCGAAGCTTTGCCTCGGCTTGGAACTGTTATGGTATAATCTTTCCTTACTGAGCTGGTTGTTTTTGTGTTGTTTTTGCAGTTCGGAGCATTCTTCCCCCAATTCCCGATGACCTCTTCGTTGTTCGAGATTCTCTTGCGGCTCGGAGAGTTAATTGGAGGAAGCACTTTACATTTGAGAGAGTGGAAAGAGCGCGAGCCATTCTTGCCGGAGTACCTGTTAGCTCTTCGTCTTCAAATTCTTCAGGGGATACAAGGGAGAAAATGGTGATCATCACTCTTAGAGACAGAAAGAGGCGTGAAGAAGAAGAGCCTGCGAAACGAGCCGCTGAGGCGGCTCAAACGGAGGTCGAGGCTGTCCCTCAAGATGATCCGCCGAGCTGTGAAGGTGAAGGCGCGGTCCGAGCTGTGGAGGTGAACGTCGCCGAGGTGAACGAGAAAGAAGTGGCGCCCGAGGTGGAACCGGGCGAAATTATTCCCGAGGCGCCCAAAGACGACTCTGCGGCGCGGAGTAAAACTCCTTCCAACTCTGCTATTTTGGCTCTTCCGAAGTTCTCGAGGCCCCTGGGTTCGCATCTACAGAAGCACAATTCTGGTCGAAAACGTTCGGTCGCTGATAAAGGGAAAGGCATGGCTATTCAGAAAGACGAGCCGCCTAAGAAGAAACACAAGCCGGTGTCTGGCGATCCCGCTTCACGTAAATTGGTCGTCGATGACCCAGATGCCTCGGCGGTGATGTTCTCGTGCGTCAACAATGCTAACACGCGTCTTCCTCCTCCTGAGAAGCTGAGGAGACCAAGGTCTTATGACGCGATGGCACAGCGCGGCACCAAGGTCTGTTCTGTTTATTTTCCTTGTTTTATCAAATTCTGGCTAAATGTTTAACGCATACTATTCTTCGCAGTTTGTAGCGGCTATCAACGAGCTGATTGCTGAATACGAGGCGGACCTGTCTAAGGTCGAACGTCGCCTGGACGAGGCTCAGAACGAGACCGCAGCGGCGAAGGGGAAGCTGGACGAGGCGATGACCAGGGTGAAGAAGCTGGAAGAGGAGAAGATAGCTCTTCGTGCTGACGTCGACAAGGTATCCGCCTCGGTCATTCGCCTCGAGGAGGCCAGGAGAGCCAAAAGCGCCAAGGTGGCATTACTTAAGAGGTGAATCGAGGCCAAGGATGCCTTATTTGACGCCAAGGTCAAGCGTGCGAAGAACGAAGCGAGGCGAGAGTTGACGGCTAAGTTTCAGGAACGCCCTGCCAAGGTGGAGGAGGGTCTAGCCAAGCTCGAGAAGGCTAAAACCGACGAGAACGAACTGGGGCAGATCAAGGGCAACCTTGCTATGATCAAAGACCTGAGGAATCCGGATGGCCCGACACTTGACGACGAAGAGGCGAAGCTAAAAGGTTGGGAGAGCGAATAAGTCGACGACGAGGCGTACGAGCGCATTGCTTCCAAGATTCGAGGTGAGCTAGTCTTCTCGCCCGTGTCGCAAGACTCTGTAGACACCGGTTTGGGTAACGAGCCGATCGAAGAGACAACGGCTAACCTGGGTGTTGTAGACCCGACTGGATCAAATGCGGGTACGCCGGCCCTTTCGAACCTCCTCGCCGAGCGGGAAACGCAGTCCGTAGCTTGACTTTCTCCTGTTTTCTCCCTTGTTTTTCTTTTACGTTCTCCTTTTTGTTCTAAGTGCCTGGATGGCTTTATCCGTTTTTCAGACTCGTATGCATTTTTGCAATTGGCGCTCGGATTGATCTTTACACTGATGGCATGATTTTGCTATAATTATATCTATCTTCTTTGTTCTGTCTTAGCGATATTGAGGAGTTATGTTTGTCGTTTCGTGACCAATTTTGTTGGACCGAGAGTGTCCTTCTTCCCTAGCCGTTAGAATAGTTTGGTCAGGACAGGCTATCTCGAATAGACTTTGTTTAAGTTGAGAGGTCCCGAGCTGGGAGACGTGTTCTTGTTTAGACAATTTTGGCGAGGGGGCATATGATATTCCTTTATGTTTTCAGATGTTAGTCCCGAGGTGTGAAGTGAGAAGGTGGCAAACATATTGACGAGGTAAATTAACTCGGATCTAATTTAATCCTTCTGAGGCGTTAAGTTCGAATTTCTCGTTGTCAAGGTTCATGTCTAAGTAGACGATATTTAGAATCTTGTCGTAGACCGGTGTTCCCGAGAGGGTGGATGTGTTGCCGGGTTTTAAGAATTCGTTTTGGTTTTTGAGAGAGCGATGTAGTCTCGACATACAATCTCGTGTGCAATGGCAAACCATAGCGACCAATACGTTTTTGGTCCGAAATTTGTATAGCGCGCTTGATTTTAATCCATAGAGGATGTGACTTGCACCCTCGTCCTAGGAAAGGTGGTTAAAAGTCCATTTAGAGAACTTTGTGACTGTTGCCTCGCTGTGGCCAGCAACGAGGCGAGGTGTTTGGAGACGTAGTTTGCCGAAGTGAATGCAAGGACAAGTAAAAGTCTAGGAGTAGTGTACATGAGTGACAAAAACTTGCCGAATTAAAAATCCGAGGTGAACATGAAACAACTAGCTGATTTAAAACGAATGAGAAATTAGCCGAAGCGACAATGAACGAATTAAAATTCCAAGGTGAACATGAAAAAACTAAGTGGTTTAAAACGAATCGAAAATTGGCCGAAGTGGCAATGACCCTATAGATGGTAGACGAGCTAAAATTGCAGAGTTAATGAAGGTATGTGTATACGTACCCACTCCCCCCCCTTTTTAGGGGGGGGGGGACAGCTGAACCCGTCCGAGGACGGGCTGCCTACGTACCCTTTGCAGGGATCAAGCCGTCCCGTAGTTCATGGTGATGATGTTGTAGCCTTAGTGATAGTACTTCTTTAGATGCATTGCGTTCCACATCTTGGTATGGCTTCGTCAGCTACCGTCGCAAGTTCGTAGACTCCTGGGCGAACTACTTTTGTAATCTTGTAAGGACCTTCCCAATTTGCTCCGAGCTTTCCTGCATTGTTCTCGGCAGTATTTTGAAAAACTTTTCGAAGAACGAGCTCTCCTTCTTTAAACCTTCGACTTCGGACATTTTTGTTGTAGTATCTCGCCGTTGCTTGTTGGTAGTTCTGGATTCGGATTAGAGCCTGGTCTCACCTTTCGTTGATCAAATCGAGTTCATCCAGCATCATTAGGTGATTCAAGCCCTCGTATCCTGGAAGAAATCTTCGTGGAATACCTGGGAAATCCACCTCGGGGGGAATAACGCACTCCGCTCCATAGACTAGAGCGAATGGAGTTTCTCCAGTGGCTCGGCGCGGAGTTGCTCGTCTGTCCATCGTCCTTTCTTGGCGTTGAGTCTCTTTTTCAGACCGTCTAGGATCTTTTTATTGGCTGCTTCGGCTTGTCCATTCCCCTGGGGATATCTTGGCTTAGATTTGCTTAGACGAATTTTCCATTTCTCGCAGAAAGCTTCGAAGCGGGTTGAGATGAATTGGGATCCGTTATCGGTGACTATCTCGTAGGGGACCCCGTGTCGGCAGATGATATTTTTCCAGACGAAGTGTTCAACTTGAGCGTCCTTTATGCTCGTGTAGGAGTCGGTCTCGACCCATTTAGAGAAATAATCCGTAAGGACGAGCAGAAAAAGCTTCTGCTTCGATCGGTGTAGAGGCCAACTATATCCATCGACCATCTCATGAAGGGATAAGGTGAAGAAATCGACGATAGCAGCTCGGTAGGTTGGTGGATTGTAGGCGCGTGCCGTTGACACTTCTCGCACTTTGCCTTGAACTTCTCGCAGTCCTTGAACATCGTAAGCTAGAAATAATCATGCCATTTTATCTTGATCGCAAATGACCTTCCGCTAGAATGATTTCCACACGAGCCGCTGTGCACCTCGTGCATTATCGTTCTTGCCTCCGGTCCCTCGACACATGTCATGAGCGATCCTAAAAATTTCCATTTAAATACTTCGCCGTCGACGAGGACGTATCGCGCGGCCTGAGCCCTTAATTTTTGGGCTTCCCACTTGTCGGATGGTACTTCTCCATCGGCGATGTATACTCGGATGGCTCCGAGCCATTCTTTGTCACAGCCGTACTCCAGCTCAGCTAGTGAGGTGTCTTCGTCCATAGCGATTGCTTCGCCGTTCTCTGGTTCCTCCTCGGGAGGGTTTATCAGCGGAACTCCTTCTACCTCTTCTATGCTCGGGCGTTCGATGAATTTGACTGGAATTGTTCGACGGAGATCCGGGTCTGAAGTTGAAGCAAGTGCTGCCAAGGCGTCTGCCGAGGTGTTTTCGCCTCGGGGTATTCGTGTGAGCTCGAACTCGTCGAACTTTTGCACCAAATCTTGGACCACTCCAAGGTAAGCTCCCATTCGTCCATCCTTCGCCTCGTACTCTCCGTTGAATTGACATGCTACGAGCTGTGAATCGCAAAAGGCTCTTATCTTTCGAACTCCGATTCCCTGTGCTAGTCGTATGCCAGCGATCAGTGCTTCATATTCTGCTTCGTTGTTCGAGGCGTGGAAGTTCAGGCGAAAAGACTGCTCCAATATTTCCCCGAGCCGTGTTTAGATGACGTGCAGCATCCATACTTTGTTTGGGGTTGGCTCGGTAGTCGCCTCGGTCGGAAGTTCGATGAGAAAATCTGCGAGCACCTGTGATTTCGCAGATGACCTGTTCCGATACTCGATGTCGTACTCGCTCAATGCTTTGGCCCATTTGGCAAGCCGCCCAGATTGGCTCGTGCTGTGCAGGATCGAGCGTAGCGGAAGGGTAGCGAGCACAACAATCGAATGTGATTGAAAGTATGGACGCAGCTTGCGAGCCGATACTACAACGGCTAGGGAAACCTTCTCGATCTGGGGGTAACGGATCTCGACATCGGTCAGTGTCTGGCTGACGTAAATGATGGGTTTCTGCTCGAATCGCTCTTCTCTTATCAGCACCCCACTCACGGCCGTAGCGGATACGGTGATGTTGAGGAAGAGGGGCTCTCCTTCAACTGGTTTCGCCAGGATCGGCGGGCTTGCCAGATAACTCTTCAACTCCTGGAAAGCTGCTTCGCATCGCTCGTCCCACTCGAACTTCTTATTTCCTCGAAGAGTGTCGTAGAAAGGCAGACACTTATCGGTAGAACGGGAAATGAATCTGTTTAGCGCAGCGACTCTTCCTGTGAGCCTTTGAACTTCTCGCTTCGTCCTTGGAGAGGGCATCTCGATTAATGCCTTGATCTGCTTGGGATTCGCTTCAATGCCTCGGTGAGTCACCAAGTAGCCGAGGAACTCTCCCGAGGTAACCGCAAATCTGCACTTCGCCGGGTTTAGTTTCATGTTGTGTTTGTTCAACAGCTCGAAGCATTCTCGTAGGTGCGCGATATGGTCTTTCTCCTCGAGTGATTTGACTAACATATGGTCGATGTATACCTCCATGGTTTATCCGAGCTGATCCGCGAACATTTTATTGACGAGCCGTTGATATGTCGCCCCTGCGTTCTTGAGCCCAAAGGGCAAGACTTTGTAGCAGTATATCCCGCGATCAGTTATGAATGCTGTTTTTTCCCGATTATCAGGATGCATCAGGATTTGGTTGTAACCGGAGAATGCGTCTATAAATGTTAACATCCTATTTCCCGCAGTGGCTTCGACGAGCCGGTCAATGTGCGGTAGAGGGAAACTGTCTTTTGGGCACGCGTTGTTGAGATCAATGAAATCTACACAGACCCGCCACTTGCCGTTCTTCTTCTTCACAACCACTGGATTTGCGAGCCAGTCTGGATATTTTGCCTCGGCAATTGATCCTACTTTGAGCAATCTTTCCACTTTGTCGTTGACTGTTTGATAACTAAGATTTTTCAGGTCTTAGATGGGTTATCAATCCCTTATGTCACTTGTAGTACAAAGGGTATCAATCCAAATGTGTGTTTGCTAGACACTAGTTTATGTGACAAGTTCTTAAGTCAAGCTGAATAAAAGATGAGTTTGGTGAAACCAGCAACAAGAAAGCATAAACAAGAAACAAACAAGCTATGATTAATAAACTAAGCAAGTAAACAAGACAAGATGATAATAAAGCAAATGATGAAAGATAAACCTCTAGATGTCATCATTGATCAGGGTGCTTTAGATATTGATTCATGATGCTAAGAACATAATGCAGCACTTGCTACTCTTTAGTCTAGGCTTCTTAATCAGATTAATTCATTCCCATGACAATAATCCCTTTGCTAATCACTTAATCAAGTCTAACAACCATTAGATATGATCATACAATCAACAAGCATAAATCATCAAGCCTAATAAGTGACCAAACAATCCCTCAACCAAGTAAGACTGAATCTTATACAGAAATACATAGCAAGCAATCACATGATCTCAAAACATTTCAACTTAGAACTCTAATCTAGACTAATCCTCTCATGAAGGCATTAACCTCTACACTAATTCATTTTCAAACCAAATCATCATATGTGAAATATGAATCAAAGAGCATTAAGAAACAGTTCTAATATCTCATTCATGCATTTAACTATCACTCTCATGATGAAAAAGGCATAAACCCTTAAGTTAGCTCTTTCAGGCATTTCATCAAACACTTTTAGTGCATGAAATGCCTATGATCTAGACCCAAGTGATTCTCAAGGATCTAGCTTTAAGAGCAGCTAACTAAGGAAAGGAAATGAGAATCTAGAACCTAAACATTATAAATCAAGCATCAAAGCACCCTAATCTACACACCTAGAAGCTTAAAAGATGACTACTCACTAATCATGAAGAACACACCATTTCCTTTGCAAGAGGTGATGTTAATCATGATTAGAGGCAAAGATGAGATGATGCAATGACAAGAAACAGCCTTAAGATGATTAAATCAGCAAGATATCTCTTAATCAAAAACGTTTTTACACTAAAAAGGAAAGAAAATTAGAGAGAAAACTAAGATAGAAGATAAGATGTTTAGGGTTTTTTTTCCAAAAAGCTATATATACTAAGTGTTATGGACCGGGTCAGCCCGGAACAAACCGGATCCTGACCTGATATGTTCATAATTTGCATCATTTAGGTTGTATATTTCACTCCAAAGCATATCTTATTCCATGCATTTTAGGTCCTTAGGGTTTGTTTTAGGACTTAGGAGATGCATTAGGTCCCAATGAGTCTTTGCATGTTTTGAGTGTTTATCATGTGCATTTGGAGCTATTTGGAGTTCAAGAGGTGAATCCAGGAAGAGAAATGGTGATCAAAGCTTAAAAGGAGGTTTTCGGCCATTCTCGCTGACCAGGAAGGTTTTTATCGGCCAAAACACGTACCGCGGATGGAGCTTATCGGCCAAAACGCGTACCGGCTATTGAATCTCTCGGCCAAAATCTCCGGGTGCAGACACATTTCCGAAATCGCCTGTCCGGGGAACCTTCCGGTCCTATTCAGATGTCGGGTGCTTCATCAAAGTTGGAGAGGGTTGGATCATGCTTCCATATCAAGTGGAATCACTCAATTCGGACGCGTGAGCAGAACGTTAAGCTCGGCGGCAGAAACTCCTGTCTCGCTGCCGTTTTGGACCAAACCGATGAGCTCCGAAGAATGCGAAGGACGGCGCACTTCCAGGCCGATTCAGTTTCCGGGTCCTTCATGAGAGTCAGAGATATTTGAGTCCTGTTTCTATAACATCCAAGATCATTCAATTCGGAGCTATGAGAAGGAAGATAACGTCTCCGGAATGGACACATGTCTAGACGCCTTTCTCTGATCGTGTAAAGGCACTGCAAAGACGAGCCCTCCAAGAAGCCTTCCACTTCCCAAGCACCGAATCTTCCTTCACCAACGTTGGATATATATAAGTCTTCTGTCCTCTGAAACCGAAATCACTCAATTCGGACAAGTATCTTAGAGGTTACACTCTCCGGAATGCGAAGTGGTCCAAGCTGCTATGAATGCTGCGAGAAACCCTTGCGACTTGGTTAACTCGCAGGCCTGAAGACGAATGCCTGGAAATTGATGCTGCGAGTTGAGAAGTGCGGGTAAGCTATCAATGGATGAGGTCTGAGGCTCCCGAGCAAGAAAATTGCTAAGTCCACAATCGTGCGACTTAGGCATGCGAGGTGGCCGCCCTGGAACCAAGCCGCACAATCACTCGCAATCTACTCCGACTTGAGCTTGCGACCTGAGTGTAATGGAGACCAACCGGAACGGTTTGTACATTCCCCAGAAACCGCCTTGGTCCTGCGAGTTGAAGAAGAAGAAGATTAAGCCGCAGCAAGACTCGCAAAACACTCCTACTTGGGCATGCGGCTAAGACAAAGCTATTTAAGTCTCACAAGACTAGTTCTTCATCTACTGCGACTTGGGCATGCTACCTGGGAGACACTGGACAAAAACCCGCAGGATTCCCATTTTATCCATTAAAGCCGGGTCAGGACCCGGTTTGTTCCGGGCTGACCCGGTTCGTTTTTAGAGAGATATAAATACTTTTTAGGGTTTTTTTTTATGGAACTATGCTTCTTTTGTGAAAAAGACTCCACTAAGAAGAGAAATATCGATTTTTGAGTGTTTAATCAAGAGAGTTTAAGAGATCTTTGTGTTTAAAGCTGCTTTCTTCTAAATCTATCATCTATCTCTTCATCTATACACTTCTAATCATGATTAACAACACATCTTGCAAAGTATCTAGTGTGTTGATGATGATTAGTGAGTAATCTCCATATTAAGGTCTTAGATATGTAGATTAGGATGCTTAAGTGGTAGATTAGTGAGCTTAGGGGTTAGATCATGCATATTCCATTCTCTACAACTTGTTCTCTATGCTAGATCCATACAAATCATATGTGGTCTAGATTCTGGGCATTTCATGCACCAAAAGTGTTTGATGAAATGCCTGAACCAAGGTTGTTAGAGGTTTAAGTGTTATTCATTATGGGAATGATTGTCTATATGCTTAAATGACAGATTAAACTGATTCTTAATGCTTGTTAACTCATGTTTCACTGATGATGATTGGGTTAGAAACTGTTTTAGCATAGAAGTTAATACCTTCATGAGAGGATTAACTTAATTAAAGATGTTTATGTTGAATGGTTTGCTTGATCATATGATTCATTAGCTCATTAGTTTACACTGAAGGCACCCTAATCCACTATCATGTCTAAGACCTTTCTCATCATCATTCATACATTTTCACCATTTGTCATTGTTTAGTTCTTGTTTGATCATTTTATTAGTCTTTAATCCTGTTTAAGTTTGTAGTTGTCTTTAGATAATCAAAACCACTCTTGTTTGCTTGAATTAAGAACTTGATCACATAGTTTAGTGTCTAACTCCACATCTGGATTGATAAACCCCTTGTACTACAAGACAGGGGATTGATAACCTCTATAAAGAGCTTTGAAAACTCTTAGTTATCAATTGGCGCCCTTGCCAAATTGTGGATTGTTTAGCATTAAGCTTTGATCTGTTCTTGAGATCAAGTGCTTACTTTCTTGTTTTTACTGATTACTTTCAAGTTATGTTTGTGATTTCAGGTGTATGAACACCAGGTCTAGATCAAGAAGCTGTGGTCCACCTTTCCCTCTCAACGACAATATCAATCTTTTGGTACCAAGAAGGAGAAGGGACAGACGTGGAAGACAGGTTGATCAGGCTGATATGGAAGAACAAAGAGAGCACGTGGTAGACATAGAACAACCGGTTCAGGAGCAACAAGCTCAAGGTAATGGAGCTGGTAATGGAGTTGGTCAAGGGTTAAATCAGGGTAATGTTCATCAGGAACAGGTGCATCACCAACAAGCTTATGTCCACCAGGGACAAGCTCCAGCTCATCAGCAGATGCATCAGGCCAATGCACAGCAAAGACAACAGGTGCACCACCAACATCAGCCCTTCCAACACCAGCAAAGAAGATATGAGCAACCACAAGTCTATGTTGGAGAGAATGACAGGGCCAATGCTCATCAGTATGGAGCTGGAATTCAGGCACCACCTGTGCAAAACAACAACTTTGAAGTGAAGGCATCATTGCTGAATATGGTCCAGAACTCAAAGTTCCATGGATTAGCAATGGAAGATCCCTTGGAACACTTGGATCAATTTGATAAGGTGTGTGACCTGACTAAGATTAATGGAGTTTCAGAAGACAGCTTCAAGCTAAGACTATTTCCATTCAGTCTTGGTGACAAAGCTCACCAATGGGAAAAGAATCTTCCAAGAGGCTCCATTCAAACCTGGGAGCAATGCAAGCAAGCCTTCCTGTCTAAGTTCTTCTCCACCTCCAGAACTGCTAAACTAAGGAATCAAATCTCTAGTTTCACTCAGCACAGCAATGAGAGTTTTGGTGAAGCATATGAGAGATTCACGAGCTACACAAACCAATGCCCACACCATGGGTTTAGTGAGGCTTCTCTTCTCAGGTGTGTGACCTGACTAAGATTAATGGAGTTTCA